ATATGATTGACTGTAAATTTCAGACTGACTAACCATTACTATATTGTCTTTAATTACAGGCAAGGCAATTACTCATAAAACAATCACGGTGTCAAGACAATAATCTAGAAATTCATTTGCATTGCATAAATTCTCTCATCCATCACGTGTTATCAATTATATACTTGGGTACCCCTAGTTTTCTATATTTTCACTGGCACACATTCATTATATTCGGGTAATCATATCATTTATTTTTTTTAAAGTGTATGGTGTAACTTCATACTTCCCATTTGTTTGCCTTTTAGAACATTATTGCTTTTACATGAGGATGCAGTGAAAATATTACTATTACAAGGATATTTTTTTTAGGAATTATCTGAAAAATTCAATTTGTTTACCATGCAAAAGTCAATGTCAACAAGGATGATGCATTCATCGGTAGTTATCTGTGAATAAACATTTTTTGTGAGTTTTTTTTTATTGTGTATGATGACAGAAACAACCAAAACCAGCTTTGACACAAGTTTTTTGTTACCTATCTACTCATTTAATGTGCTTGCATATGATTTATCAGACAAAGTCACAAATTAGATTTCCTGTAAGCAGACAGAATAAAATTACAGAAATTAGGATTACTGTTATTTTGCTTTCTCTAACAACTTTTCAACCACAGTTGTGTAAGCTTTAATTTCATTATTTTTTTAAAAATACAAATGTTTTATGTTGTTTGGTGATATTAGGTGTTAATTTCTCACATTAATTATTTTGAAAAGAAAAATATTACAAATTGTTGCTACTCTTACAGTAGGTAAGCTAAATTAGCAAATTTTGAAAATGCATACAAGTATTAAATACCCCATCTCAATTTTCATAATTATAATTTTGCATGGTAAATCACGTACATTTTACCATGCTATTATTTATATAGCTAATTATCTGCAGGTGAATTTTATGTATTGTCACTGTCAGTTGAACCAGTTTTGTGAAGGTCTGAAGATCAGTACTTCCTTAGTACCCTCATAAGAGCCTTCATATTATTTATCCTAATCCTAAAACCATGTAAAAAAAAAAAAAATTTTTGTTTAAAATACGCAGTCATGCACAATGTGCATTATCAACACTTCTTTACCTATCGTCAGAACGTTGACCAATTATGTATTGTAATACAAGAGTGATTGAAAAAAAACCCTTGAAGTACTAGTATGCACTCAGAAAGTATAGGCGAGACATCAGCACCAGTTGATAATCCGGTCATGGTGACCTTTATTATTTGTACACATGCGCCAGTTGATTTCCAGTATCATCTACCCGTGCTGCTTTATGTGCACAGGCACCAGTTGATAATCCAGTTATCGGTCTATGTTTCACGCATGTACCCGTTGATCTAAGCTAGCGCAAGCTGACATTCGATAAATGTTATGTGATAGGTGAAAATTTATAATAGTTTTCAAAATTTATCCATCTCATTATGAAATCAGTAGATCATTTCTAAATGTAATTGTTGAAACAATATGACTGTACTATTCCTCGTCAGTGTTGTTATTGAATAAATATACATGTGATAGTCCCAGTGTGAATAATCCAAGGTATTCTCATAAAGAAGAGTATAGCAATATAAATAAACATTTAGTTTGATTGTCTCATCCTCTACTACTACATTTTCTGTATTTTCTCATTGAAGGGAGTTGAATAATAAGATGGAGGGTATACAAGCATGTGATAAGCTCTCGCAAAAATTGAAGAGATCACATAAATTGCGGGATAATCACAATATATAGCAAAACAAACGTACATTTACAGAAATCCATATGCAAATTAGTGAGTCTATGAAAGAATTTGATTTCACCAATTGTTTTTAATAGTGTCTTTGAATATTTGAGAATATGTGATAAATGTACATTTTGCATTTTTCAATATGGTGATAAATCTCGCTCTTTTTTTGTTTACGCAATCCACTGTTTCCTATGACACTAATATTGTTTAAAAACACATTTGACTGGTATGCAGGGAATGGAACAGCTTTCAAAGGTTTTCAAAATGTGTGTTTAAGTGTCTTGTGCGATCTTTATCGCATATTACTATTCATGGATATGAAAGTTGCATCACACAATTTGCCAAAAAAATTAAAAGTTTGCAATTTCCATTTAATTTTGACTGTCTTGAGTATTTGTTCAATTGCTCTCATTTTGAGTTATTGTGTAATGGCTAACGAAGCAATATTTTTAGAGAAATCACATTTGATTTGGTTCAATCTTCAGTAACACCCTGGACTGCATGCCTTGTTTTAATCAACCCTTGACTGAATTATTATAAGCTGTGCTTATACCATCTTTAAATTAAATAAATAAACAACACTTTTCATGTCATATTAAAAGTAATTATAAAAGTAATTATAAGTTAGATAACTATTTGAATAAAATTAAAAACAAGAAACATAGAATAGCTTTAACTAAATACCGTATTTCCGCACACTTTCTACCTATTGAGAAAGGCCGTTACCAGGGTACTGATAGAGATAATAGAGTATGTAATTTATGTAACAACGATGACTTGGGGAATTAAATACATTATATAATGCACTGCAAACATAATGATATTACTGGGCACAGGGATAAGTTCCTTAAATCATTGTATATTTATGCACCCAATCTACAAAATTTACGGTATGTAAGAAAGATTTGTTTGTGCAGATTTTCTCTAGTAATGATAAATTTATCTATACCAACTTAGCTAATTTTGTTTTTCAGATTATGAAATTATTTTAGTTTAGTTAGTTATTTAGTTAGTTGTTTTGTATTGTTATTTTTTTTTTTTTTTTTTTTTTGGACTCGAGCTTTGTATTGTGTACGTCCCAAATAAAATATCTTGTATCTTGTATTAAATATTAATGATGTAAATGTGCTTTATATATAATTTTGTGTTATCGGTATACTTGTATAAAACTCTCGTACGAAAATGGAGCAGCATAACATCGCTTTCGGCTATGTTGCCCCCAAGACGGCATCAACCATAACGAACGCACATCGTTCCGAGTGAATTCACGTTAAGTTAAACAACAGCTATAAACATTAACTGGAATGACGTGAGTGATGGTGTGGACGTGCCAATATTGAAACCGTAACTAACTACAACTTCAAGTGGACTATACGATTCACTTTATACATCGATCATGCCCACGCTACGTAAACAAAGCATGGATGACAACTTGAACAGTAAACTATAAGAACAGACACGGTTCATGGACGTCACTGTGTATCAACGTGTCCCTATTTCGTATGTCTTGCTTTCCTACTTACCGTACAGATGTAACGGGTGCTAGAATACACAAATTCAAAACAACATATGCAATACACACACATAAGTTTAGCAGGGACTGGTCCGATTCGCTACAGTGTTCCTTGGCCTGCTTCCCACTGCTGCTCTGCAGCCAAGTCTGTCGAGTCGTATCAATCCAGAGCTTTCAGCTAATCTCTTCAACCTCAGATATGACAGGTGATTATCTTAATAATAAACAACTGGCCATGAAGGTAAACACTGTCCCCGCACAAAAATAACTCTCTCCACACACAGCAATAACGAGAGTTGGGCTGCGTGAAGAATTAAAACTGACCGAGGTCAATCTCACTCAGCAGTCGGTGGGGTCGAGTCAGACAGCGACGGAGCTCACTAAACTTGATGTAAAATCACCACGATCGCATGAAATTGTAGTCTTAAAACCCCATGATCATAATTAGAGCTTTCTCGAAATCTGTCGTTTCTGGGAAAACGCAGAGTATGTTCGTCCTGGGTCGCAACGGTCCGATTTCGCAGCCAAGACTGACAGAGACACACACAGATTTGTCCGCAGCTACTTGCTGCTGTACTGTACTGATCACTAGCTGGCTGTGAATGAGCCGCGCGCGTGACGTCACTCATTGGTTGCTATAGTATCAGTAACAAGCATCTATTATGGGATATGTGTCATAGGCATATCATGCGTGTATGTTGGCTGTATATCATAATGATTATATTAAAAACAACTGTTGACTTGTGTGCTGTGTAATTTATCAAACGTTTTTAACGAAATATTTTAAGCTGAGCTCAACTGTTTTCGATATGACAGTACTCGTTAAAGGAAACAGCTCAACACCGTCATTGGTAATTTCAGGCACAGTTCCTCTGTGTTTTAGGTTACAGTAGAAGTTTACAGGTACACCAAGTAGCGGCCAATGTCAGCTACATGACACTTACTGTCTATTCTACATTGTCTTTGGTACTATGAACTTGACCAAGGTGAAATCTTTGTTCTTACACCAAAATAAGAACATTGTTTTTATTCACTTGCCTTTCACACCAAATTTGTTTTGAATTGTGAGAGATGCACATATCTGTTTCCAACTATTGTTAAGTCTGAATAAAGCGGAGAGACGCTAATGTCTTTTATTGATTGCCAGCTTTGTCCAGCATTCATTGTTCATTAACACTCGGACCATTGCCCTCCGGGTGTCCTATAATTCCGATGTTAAATGGGGGGAGGAGGGGGTTCCATGATCCGTGATTGTCAACTTTATATTTTGGGAATTGTAATTTGTATTTAAAAAGGTGTGGTCGTCGCGCCGCGTCCTGTTAGATATGGGCCCATAGCGACGAGAAAACCGCGTGTAAAATACATACAAGGGCAAGTTGTAAAATGTAATCAGCTATTTTATTCGTCCGTAATTTGTACTAAGATATTATTGTTTGTATAAGCGTATAAAGCATTTTCAAAATTAAATGTCGTAATTCGTACACAATTTTCAATTTTGATTTTTAAAGGGGCACTTCCAATTAAGCCTAATCTCACAACAAATTTACTTTCTGGATTAAAGTTAATAAATAACATAAACAATAGTGTCCCATGAGTCTTTGGTGCAATCCATGTGATTGAGCGATATCAAAAATAGTATAAAATTGTAATTAGGAATTTGTCTTTTCTGTGAAGTGTAAAAACATATTTTTTACTGTAAATGAAACTTTCATTTTATTTCCTGTCACAACGTAAAATGTCGGTTTTATTTCCTGTAGCCTGTACAAGACACCCCCTTGCTACCTCTCTGTGCAGCACAATTATTAGTGAGTTACTTTCGATATTTAACAGCATTCACATATTAATATTGTTTATTAAACAACAAGTCGGAAAAGTGTGAATTAGAAAATAAAATGTACAAATTAAAGTGCTTATTACCAAACCATGCATGTAAGTTTAATGAGTCCTATGAGGCAATTTGCACGAATGATCAATCTGACAGTGTTAGGTAGATTACACAAGTTCGGGTTATGCTCTATGCAGATTTCAACAAACGAATATGCAACTGAAGACTGGATATTTATGTTAAACATTGATTTTCTAACAATCCAATGCTCTCTTCTAATGAAATCACGAGTAGAGTTCTGACATGCACTAATAGACCATTTTCCGTTCACTGCGAGAATCACGCGTGAAATCGAACGTAAAAACAGGACAAACAAAGGTCATAGCGTCGTAGTCGCGTCAAACATCGTGTGAGATTCGACAAACGCGAAAGTATTTTGGGGGACATTTCCATGTCAATAATGTGCTGTACACATTTGATGATAGACAATTTCGATTAAAAGAAGATATTCGAATGCAATATTCCTCTGTCAAAGATCGGCCGGTCGATGTGAGCTACGAAATAAAGAAATTCGAGTTCAAAATCAAATCGTTCGATTTTTGCACCAGACGTTCGACGCGCGTCTTTCATGCATCTCGCGAGATCTCGCAGTTGTACGGAAAATCACCTATTATCACCGATGATTCCTTCCATACCTTCCAATCACCAAAGGAATTACCTAGTTAAAGCTTGGAAATGTCTCAGTTTGTTCTTAGTTTTTTTTTGTCTGCGCAACAGTCAAAGTCGCAATCTTTGTTTATATGAGACCCATATCTCGCACCACGACCACCGCGCACCGCCCTTTGAATATATATTTAGACCTCGGATATTGTCTAAGTTCAGACGCGAGAACGTAAGAGAGCTGATAAGCACTTGATGTACTCAGGTATGGGCAGGATGTGAGTATTCGATGACTTCGATGTAGGAAGCCGCGTCCGTCAACGCCGTAGAAGCAGTACGTTCGTAGACCAGTCAGTCATTGATACCTCGTCCGAGATCTGAACCCCCTAAACTGTACTAAGCAACCAAACAATAAGTCATACT